ATCCGCTCATTTATTATGTTGACGAAGAAAAAAAGACCATTGACTAAACCGTTCGTCTGTTCTAACGTGGCGAGCAAGCAAAAAAGCGAGCGAGCGAACGAGCAAGCGGGCCCTATATGCCATCGATCCTATATGAAAGAGCTATTGAAAGAAAAAGAAGACGAAGAACAGCCTTGTCTTTGTATAAATGCTTATAGTTATCATTCGATGTCATCGGTTTCGATTGTACATGCAAACGCCATTGAGTTATATTGGTTAAATGTTCTATTGAATGATTGTTATTTTTTTTTTTTTTTTTTTTTGTAAAAAAATATGTTTGTTCAAAGTAAATATTAACATAAAGTTTTGATGATATAATTAATGTTGTTTACCGATGTATCAAAAAAATATGAATGAGGAAAAGTGTAAACTGCTGTGGATACTTATGACAATAAACACTAGTGCTTCTCCTATTACAATCGATTATGAAATGTTCATGTTTTTGTTTTATTTGAATGCTACAAAAAAAAGTAGACATCAAACATTTGTAAATGTATTTGTCCTATTATAATCTAACATAAAAATATATGTTTGATGTAGGATTCTTTTTTGTTAAAATCTATTTTCTATTTAAGAAAGAAGTGCAAATAAATTAAAGATATTTTAGCAAGAGCAGTTAACTACATTTCTAATTAAAATACTCTACTCTATAGAAGAAATCAATAGTTAGAATCATGATATTAGTATTAGTATTGAATAGATATTATTATTAATCTTTTTTCTTTTTTTTTTCATTGTGATCATTTCTCACCAACTCGTTTTGAATGATTAGATGAATGTTGTCGTTGTCCATGTGTATATGGTCGTTGTTCATCATTATAATGATATGAACGTGGTTTATCATATGTATTTGAAGTATCATTATGAGGATTTTGTATGAAACTTGATTTTGATGGTACAATTGGTCGAAAATTATTTTGATTTTGATTTTGTGTTGTAATTATATCCGATTCCAATGCATCATACAATGGATTATATTCTGGTGAACCTCGCACACGTAATGGATATTCATCAGGAACATAAGATCGTTTTGAAGCTGAAGAGATGAACATTTTTGATCGATATTAATAATGATTACTAACAATTGAGAAACATCATTTTTTCTTATCTTTTTCTCTCGCTCATTTTTAATTAAATTAACGGGAAAAAAAAATGGGATAGCGTCAGTGCGGATAAAACAAGGTCAAGATATCGATGATCTTTATTCATTTATGTACTTAATTAAATGAAGAGAAAAAAATCAAATTTTATTTGCATCTACTCACCTCGAGGAGTTTTATAATATTGAGATATAGTATAAACGACCGGTTGCATGTTTGATAAAATATGTATTGTAAAAATGAATTTGACTAGATTTTTTATTTAGTCCTTTTTTTTTCACTATTATCGACGAACTAATGGCACTCTAGTAACGTCATTGGCACCATCCAATAGTTGCCTTTGATAGCGTCGTCAAACACTCACAACTTTTTTTTATAACTCATACAATAACATGTACGAATCATGATTGACATTTTCTAATGGTCTCTCTCATTCCGCCTACAAACTATGTTTTCTTTTACATGTTGTAAAAAATAGCTTTGACCTTTGTTTTAAATGTAGGTAAAAGGTTTATTTTTTCTCATGGAATATGATAACAAGAATAATTTATTTTTACTCATATTTATTTCGAAATATATTTTATTAAATCTATACGTATTTAATAACACGTAAACATTGATAACAATCACTATGCAAATATTTAAATCTTCTATGAAAGTTAGTCATTGAATGAGATGGATCAAATTAATCTGATCATGAACATGAAAATATAGTAGTTCTATAGAGATTTTTAAATTAATGAAATAATTACAAATCGACTTTACTAATACAGGAATATAATAATTAGTTCTAATCAAAATATCTTTGGACTTTTCAAGTATATATATATATATATTAAATCATAT